GACTCGTAGTCGGAGAGCTGGGCCCTCTCAGCTCAGTAGCTCTGCCACCTGGCTGCAGGAGAGTGGGAGTTGGGGGCAGGCAGTGGTGGTATCCTGTTGAACATACAGGTTCCCAGGCCCCTCACTCCCGAGTGGAACCCGGGAACCTGTAGGTTTAACAAGTACACACGGTAACTTCTGATATAGCTGGGCCTTGGACTAGAAGAGCATCAATCTATACCGGACACGTGGGTATCATAGTATAAAAAACTCTCCATTTATTTGCAATATATACGTCTATCAACTCATTACGTAGTACACCTGAAACTAATGCTATGCCAATTACCTCTCAGTAAAAATACATTAAAAGCAGGCTTTATGCAAACTGGTAACAAAAAACACCCCCCCCACCCCGGAAAAACCCTTCAAGAAAATCCTAAGCCTAGGGGGTACTTTGCGTTAGAAAGCATGGAATCCCATTCCTCAAGTCAATGGAAGTCCTCAGTCTCGACTAGGGAGCAGCAGAGAGTATGTCTGAACAATCCCTCTAGAGGACCGGTGCCAAAGTGCTGGCTCCTAGTTGGCCTCACTCCTGGTTCTCAGTGCCTCAGGCAAGGGATGAGGTAAACTGGGAAGCGGTTAAAAACTAACCAGTAAGCAGGAGTCTCTCCCAGGCATAAAAGTACTGTTTAGGAATCTAAGAACAAGCCGGGCTGCCAAGGCAGCTTCCTCCTACCTGCTGGGGCTAGAGAGGGATCAAAGCTCAAAGAAGGCTTGGATTGGACAATTAGACCTGGCATAGCGAGGCACCAGCAGGCCAGAAGCCTGAGTCCACAGACTCAGGGTAGAACAGGTTATTCGGGCTGCCAGCCCTAGGTCCACACCCAGGACACACAGCTCCCCCTAGGGGAAGCCAAGGAGACAGACAAGCGGAAGGAGCAGTAAGGACACGTGGGGTTCCTGTCAGAGCCACAGGCCTGTGGTTTCCGTTTCTTCCGCACACGGCAGGCCTCCCAGGCCAGGAAGGGAGGGTAAAGACACATTGATCTCCTGCAGGTGCCAAGGGCACCTGGTCCGCTCACCAGTTTTCGGATTCGCTCCAGCACAAGATCGATGATCTCCTTCCCCACAGTGTAGTGGCCTCGGGCATAGTTGTTGGCAGCATCCTCCTTGCCAGATATCAGCTGCTCAGGGTGGAAGAGCTGCCTATAAATGCCAGTTCTTACCCCATCTTGAGGGGAAGAAAGAGGGCAAAGGTAAGAGATGCTGGTCTCATCCCCCACAAGGACACAGGCGCTAGGACCTAGGCTGCTAAGCTCCCCTGGGTGTAACCGCAAGACGGAGCATGAACAGCAAACAGCCTTCCAGAGACCCACTTGCAAAGTCCTTACCTGGGCCTGTGAGGGGGTAGGTCAGGGCGCCTTTAATAGTCCCTGCCCTCAGAGCCACTTGTACTTGCTGAGGAATCAGAGGATGTCTAAGAGAATCTCACCTTTTTTTTTAAAGATTTATTTATCTTGAGAGAGAACATGCAGAGGAGCAGAGAGAGAGAGGGAGAGAGAGAATCCCAAGCAGGC